TTATTTATTTTTATTTATTACATTTATTGTGTGTGTGTGTGGCCAGCTCAGCCCACCAGGGGGCGGGTCTGGCTGGCATGTGGTGCTGGGGATCGAACCGCGGTCCCTGTGCTTTGCCAAGCTTGTTTCAAGTAGGTGCTTTAGACCACTGAGCCATCTCTCCAGCCCCAAGACCCTGTCTTAAAAAAAAAAAAAAAAAAGAAAAAAGAAAAAAACCACAAGAATTAAGGATGTAAGTCAGGGTGAAGGCTTTGGTTCAGTCCCATTTGTGTGTGTGTGCGTGAGAAAGCAACCAAGTAAAACAGGCTTATATATATTTTTTCACTTGAATTTTACCAGAGTCAGCTGAGTGGGTGGCAGGGCAGCAGTGGAGATTGCCTGGTGGGTAATGCCTACACCAACATGGATTAAGAGTTTCATGGGTGACAGCCTACTTGGCCTGCAGGCAGGTTCTGTTCACCTGTTGCCCTCAGCTTGAAGTTGTTATCAGACTTCCAGGATGAGAGGTCTCCCATGATAATCTACAACCAGGGATTTAACATTTCCTTTAAATCACTTCAAAGAGCTCCATCTGAATTGTGCATAATATACTGGATAGCAGACTCTGAAGCAAAATAAAGTCCTGGATAGATTTCTGAACCTTTCCTCAGCTGCATGTCACAACTGGACACCACCCCTGTATAGCTGGTGTGGTGAAGGAGACACAGGTGTGTCACAGTGGTAAGGGTGACAGATGTATTTTGGTGAGCTTAAGGGGTCTGGAGTGAAGCTCAGTGGTACAGTGCCTGCCTAGTATGTGTGAACCAACTTCATCTCCAGCACCCAAAAGAAAAGGGGTGGGGAAAGGGCTGTGGAGATAGCTCAGTGGCCTAAGCGCCTGCCTAGGCAAGCACAAACTCCCGGTTTCGATCCCTGGTACCACGTGTTAGGCAGGCACTGAGCCCAGCAGCAGAGGCTGGGTGGAATGGCACATTCCTGTAATTCCATTGCTGGGGAGGCTGAAACAGAAGGATCACTACAAGTCCGAGCTGCGTGGTGAGACCCTGTACCAAATACATTAAAAAAAAAAATTGTAAGGGGGGAAAAAAGGAAAGAAAATCACTTTCAGAAGGCAGTTTTACTTTGGATATTTGAACTGCTTTCCGGAGGCCAGGCAAGAGGCTTGAGGTGGAGTGGGAGGGAGGTACTAGAGGGCGGAGGGGCTAAGGGAGGCAGGTGTGAGGAGGGTATCTTGGAAAGAACACCTGGGGCTGGGGGTCTGGCCACGGCAGCCATTAGTACAGTGTCTCGCGCGCGTGGGTCCGCAGATGGCGAAGCAGGTGTGAGTTGCGGCTGAAGCCTCGGCCACACTGTGCACAGGAGTAGGGCCTGGCCCCCGTGTGCACCAGGAGGTGGCGGAGCAGGTTGCAGCTTCGGCTGAAGGTCTTGCCACACTCATGACACTCCTGGGGGGCCTCCCCTTCCTGTGCCCGTCCTACATGGGTGACCAGGTGGCGCTGCAGGTGGGCGTTTCGCCGGAAGCTGCGGCCGCAGGTCGGGCAGCTGTATGGCCGCTCTCCTGTGTGACTGCGGAGATGGCGGGCCAGGTTGGAGCTGTTGCGGAAGCGATGGCCGCACGTGTCGCAGGCATGGGGCTTCTCCCCGGTGTGGATGCGCTGGTGGCGCGCCAGGTGCGCGCTCTGGCTGAAGCATTCTCCGCACTCTCCGCAGCGGCACGGCTTCTCCCCAGTGTGGCTGCGCAGGTGGCGGGCCAGGTCCTGGGTCTGGGTGAAGCTCTTACCGCACTGGGCACAGTGGTGGGGCCGCGGGCCGCCGTGGGTCAGCAGGTGGCGGGCGAGGCCGGCGCGCCGCTGGAAGCGCTTCCCGCACTGCGGGCAGGAGTGTGGCTTCTCACCCGTGTGAACACGCTGGTGGCTGGTTAGCTGTGCACTCTGGGTGAAGCGGCGGCCGCAGGCCTGGCACGAGAAGGGCCGCTCACCTGTGTGCACGCGCTGGTGCGTCACCAGGTGCTCGCTGCGCCGGAATGCCTTTCCGCAGTCGCTGCACGTGTGGGGCCTGCGCTCGGGACCAGGGTTAAGGCCACACGCACCCTCTGCGCCCCCGTGATCCTTGTCCCTGGCGTGGTTGCGCAGGTGACGTTTCAGGCTGGAGCGGCGCTGGAAGGTCTGCCCGCAATGGGTACACAGGACGACAGCCACCTCTGCCGTTTTGGCTTCGGCCACTTTGTCCTCGGTCTCCGGGGTGGCCGTGGGCTTCGGGTCCTGGGCGTGCGACAGAAGGTGATGCACGAGGCTGGAGCGGCGCTGGAAGCCGCGGCCACACTCTGCGCACAGGAAGGCAGGCTCCGAGGAGTGCGTGAGCAGGTGCTTGGCCAGGTGGGAGCTCTGGCGGAAGCGGTGGCTGCAGAGGTGGCAGGCGTGAGGGCGCTCATCCGTGTGTGTGCGCATGTGCAGTTTGAGGATGGAGCTCCGACCGAAGCTCTTCCCGCAGCACAGGCACAGGAAGGAACGCGAGCCCGGGTGCGAGTGCATCCGGTGCTTTCTCAGGCGGGAGAGTTGCGGGAAGTTCACCCCGCACTCCGTGCAGATAAAGTGTGTTTTGGCCTCTGAGCTGGAGGTGCTCTCCAAAACTTCACTGCTGTCGAGAGGGGTTCCTCCTTCACCAGCGCTCTTTGCCATGTGCCCCACTGTCTGAACGAAAGGCTCTCCTGCTAACTCAGGGATGTCTGCCTGGGACTCTGCTGAGATGGTAGTCGGCCATGCAGCCTCTTTGGGCTCTTCTAGTTTAAATTCTTCCTTGTCTGGAGTTCTGCTTTCAAATCCTGAGAAAGAAATACAAAAGTGTCAGACCTGTTCTGAGAGGGTCTGGGAATCTCCAGAACAGGATGGGGCAAGGAGTGTAAGAAACCTTAGGTTGGGCTGGGGATATAGCTCAGGAGCATAAGCACTTGCCTAGCAAGCACAAGATCTCAAGTTTGATCCATGGTAACACACACACACACACACACACACACACACACACACACACAAATAAAAGAAATACCTTAGGTCTTCCACAGATTGTCAGTAGCCAGGGACGGGGAGGGTTGTGTCAAATGAAAAGGTCTTTTCTTTATCACGTAAATTCTTTTTTCAGTCTCATTAAGATGGATAAAAATTATTAAAAAAAAAAAAAAATTTCCCCAGGGCTGGAGATAGCTTGGCAGTCTAAGCACCTACTTGGCAAGCACAAGGACCGGGGTTCCATCCCTGGTACCACATGGCGTGCCAGTCCCGGAACCTCAGCAGTATGCCATGCTGGTCACCAAAACTGGGCATGGTGGCACAAGCCTGTAATCCCAGCACTAGGGAGGCTGAGACAGGAAGATTACTACAAGTCTGAGCTGTGTAGTGAGACCCTGTGCTAAATAAATAAATAAATAAATATTTAAAAAACAATTTTGGGGGGCTGGTGAGACAGCTCAGTGGTCTAAAGCACAGGGGACTTTGGTTTGACCCCCAGCACCACACTCAGGGTTGGCTGAACCAGAAAAAAAGAATTCAGTAAAATAAGCATAACAAAATTTATCATAATACCAATTTTTTTAAAATTTTATTTATTTATTTAGTGTGGCCAGCTCAGCCCACCAGAGGGTGGGGCTGGCTGGCATGTGGTGCTGGGGGATTGAACCGCAGTCCCTGTGCTTTGCTAAGCTTGTTCTAAGTAGGTGCTTTAGACCACTGAGCCATCTCACCAGCCCCTCATAATACCAATTTAAAACATACATTTTAGGCCTATTTATCAAATTCAAAATGTTGTGCCGACATCACAACTTTGATCTCCAAATGGAAACCTAATATCCACAGGAAATCATTCCCTTGATCACTATTTTTTTTTCCTTTCTGTGTTTTAGGGAACAGTCTACAGGGTGTTCAGGGTCACACTACTATATCAGGCTTGTAGCGATCCACCTTCTGAGTAACTGGATAGCACTGAGTAGCACGTACCACCATGCCCAGCTTTTGACTATTTTTCCCTCTCCCAGCAACATTGGGGATTACAATTAGGACCATCACAGTGAACTACATCCCTAGTCTTTTTTATGAAGCAAGATTTCATTAAGTTATCCAGACTAGACTCAAATTTGTAATCCTTCTGCCTCAGCCTCCTAGAGTGCTAGAATTGCAGACATGTGCCACTACACCTGACTTTTTGATCATCTGTTTTATATTATTATTATTATTATTATTATTATTATTATTATTATTATTTTAGGGAAGGGTCTACAGGGCGTTCAGGGTCTCACTACTAGGTCATACTTGTAGTGATCTACCTGTTTACAGCCTTCCAAGAGCTGGGATTACAGGCGCATGCCACTACGCCCAGTCTCTGATCATGTTTAAAAAGCTCAAAATTAACAGGTTGATGTGTAGACCAGACACAAGGAGCTATCTAAAAGAAAGATAGACACTGGATACAGAGGTATATGTCTGTAATCCCAACACTCTAGGAGGCTGAAGGAGGAGGACTGAAAGTTCAGGTGCAGCCTGGGCAGCTTAGTGACTTAGTGAGATCCTGTCTTGAAATAAAAATAAAAAAGAGCCAGGTACAGGGCCGGGGAGATAGTTCAGTAGCTTAAGTTCCTGTTTGGCAAGTGCAAGGTTCTGAGTTTGCTCCCCAGTACAAAAACCAAAAAGACAAAAAACCAGGCACAGTGACACATAACTGTAATCTCAGCACCCAGGAGGCTGAGGCAGGAGGATTGTTGTCCGTTTGAGGCCAGCCAGGGCTACATAGAAAGTTCAAGGCCAGACTGAACTACATAACAAGACCTTATCTCAACCAGCACCCCCAAAATATTTTTTTAATTAAAAATAATTCAATGGGCTGGATGCTGAGAAGGGCAGTACACAGCTCTAATCCCAGCATCCCAGATTTAGGGAGGCTAAAACAGGAGCATCCCCATAAGTACAAGCCCAGCCTGGGCTACATACTACATAGGGAGACTCTATTCTCCAAAAGTACAAAGGAAGAAAGGAAGAAAGAAAGAAAGAAAGAAAGAAAGAAAGAAAGAAAGAAAGAAAGAAAGAAAGAAAGAAAGAAAGGAAAGCAAAGAAAAAGTAAACCCATCAACAAGGCCCATAAATGATGAAGGGTCTGGATTTGTGAAGGCAGAGTCCTTTGGTGGCCAAAATGATGGTGGAAAGGGTCTGCTTACCCAAAGGGTGCACAGGCCAGGTCTTCTTAACTGGGACATCCTCAAAGGTCAGGCACTCCTGTAAAGACAGGGCCCCTGGGTGAATAAATGAGGCTTGAGGTACTGGAGCCTGGACTAATTAAAGACAAAGCAACTGGCACAGTGGGACATGCCTGTAATCTCAGCACTTGAAAGGCTGAAGCAGTAGGATCACAATTTCAGGTCTAACCTGGGCAATTTAGTGAGAACCTGTCTTAAAAGGGCAGGGGATGTAGGTCTACAAAAGTCCTGGTACCATACCCAGTACCATAAGTAGCATAAGGAGGAAAGTAAGGGGAAGCAGAACTGGGCTTGAGAAGGACCTGACAGGGTAAGCAAGGGACACATCCAGCTTACCAGCACAGCAGCCAGCTCTTGATCACGGGAATATTCCTCAGGCCACACTGAGGGGTCCTGGGGGGCTAACAGCATTGGGGGAAGAAGAAAGTGCTGTTAAAAAATAGCCCTGCCCACCAAGTGGCTCCCAGGAGGTGTCCTCCATCACGCATGCATGTGAGGCTAGCCCAGCTCTCTCCCACCCTGGCCCCTTCTGCCCTCATCCAGCATCTACACATGCAGTCCCCCTGTCTGGGCACCAGCTCCTCACTGCTTTCTTGTAGGGCCTGGAGTGTCCCCTGGGGTCCTGGGCTCAGGGGCTGCCAGGAACTGGGGGCAGGTGTCCACTCTGTGGACTCAGCAGGTGTGGCAGGCCATGGCTGGGATGGGGACACTTCTTCATTTGATGGCAGCAGGGCTGGGGGCTCTTCCTTCTTGGGACTGTAGCTGGGGACCTGGGAAGGAACCCCCTGTTCCTCGAAGATGATGTCTGTACGGGGACAATTCTTGCTGGCACTGAAACTAAAATCCTGTTGAAAACACATCCACATTAGGAGGTGACAGCCCCCAACAAGAATGGGACTGAGGAGAGGGGAAATTCACACAGCCAGGAGGGTAAGGAGATAGTGGGTGGAGGAAAGTCAGGTTTTCAGAGATTTCTTCTTGGGGTGATCAGTCCCTCTCCAAGCCCCTCTCACCAGTGGCCCAGAATGGCTGGTGTCCCGAGGCACACCCTCCAGCAGTAGCACCACCTCCTCTCCATCCCGCAGCGGCTGCCCCTGCAGGCGGCCCAGCAGATGCTGGGGCAACACACTCAAGAACTGCTCCAGCACCAGTAGCTCCAGGATCTGTTCTTTGGTGTGCAGAGCCGGCTGTAGCCAGTGGCCACAGAGCTCCCGCAGCCGGCTCAGGGATGCCCGTGGCCCCATGTCCTCCTTATACTGGAAGCATCTGAACAGCTGGTGGGCCACCTCAGGCCGTGGCCTGGCCTCTGTCTGCCTGGCACCTGCCAGGCCAACAGCCTCCTCCTCCTCCAGCTTGACAGCTCCGAGTTGCTCTTGCCCCAGGGCAGCTGGCACTGGGTCTGCCAGCATCCTTCACAGCAGTGTACACCTCCCACAGCTGGGCCTACTCAGCTTCCTCTTGTTGGCTCCTCTCACACCTGTGGAGCTAAAGGCCATGGGTTAAGAGCTGCTGCAGGGCAGCTGACCAGACATGATTCATCAAGATTCTTATCAGATAGCTCATACCTATAATCCTAGCAATCTGAGAAACTGAGTAAGAGGAGTACAAATTCAAGCCCAGGGCTGGGGAGGTAGCTCAGCAGCATAAGTGCCTGCCTGGCAAGTACAAGGTCCTGGGTTCGATACCCAGTACCAAAAAAAAAGCAATTCAAATCCAGCCCAGGCCACTTAGTAAGAGCTTGCCTCAAAATAAAGCATTGGTAATGTAGCTCAGTGCAGGGACCTTGGGTTCAAACCCCAGTACAACTACCCTTGTACCCCAAAACCTTCCCTAGAGGAATCTTTCTGCCCATGGTCACAAGTGATGGCTCATGAGGGTAGTGTAGTTCAGGTCTCAGCAGCAATGGCAGCAAAATCAGACAGTTCCCTGTGGTCACCCCATCCAACAGCACTTTTTTTTTTGCCATAATTTTATTGATAAACAAATAGCAATGAGACAGTTGCAAATCAAATCGGTAGGACAGTTTCAATAATTAACACAGTGAATACATTCTTCTTAGTGGTTAATTGCTGTATCAACAGCACTTTTAAGACTTTCCATCTCTTTCCCCAGTGATTAAAATGAACCTCTTCCAGAGAGCAACAGCCTGTCTCCCCCTTTTCCTGTGCACACAGCACTACAGGAAACAGGTTCTCCAATCCCATCCCATCCATAGGGCATTGCAGAAAATAAGGAACAAGTCAAAGCACTGCTTGAATAAGCAATTCAACAGATGTGTCCTGAAAAACTAGCAAACAAAATTGGGTTCTTTGGTCCGCCATAGAAATAAGTGCCTCTAGGGGGCACTGTTGCACGGAAGGCTAAAGAGCAGGTCCTACCCTGCTGTAACCCTTTTTTCTTGGTGGGTGGGGGCACCGGGGATTGAACTCAGTCCCTTGTGCTTGCCAGGCAAGTGCTTATTCTACTAAGCTATCTCCCCAGCCCCCTGTAACCCTTGATTAGATCCAGATGTATGGTTTTGTTTTGTTTTTTTTTCAGGCAGGATCTCACTATATATTCCGGCTGGCCTCGAACTCAGCAACTGATAGTTTTGCCTCAGCCTCCCAAATGTTAGGATTACAGACGTGCACCCCCAGGCTCTGCTACGGATGTGTGTACTTTTTTAAAGACTCAAAGACAGTTTAAGGTTGGTTGGGGAAATATGAACAGGAATGGGATAGATTGACTGTAAATTTGTAGGATTTGTAGTCTTATGGATGTACTCAGTGTTTCAATTGGAAGATGCTGTAACTAAATGAGGTGACACACACTGACTGTAATCCCCACATGCTGGGGGGCTGAGGCAACAGGATGGCAAGTTTGAGACCTGCAAGGGCAACTTGACAAGACTGTCTCAATATAAAAAAAGAACTGGAGATAAAGAGTTCAGTGGGAAGTTCCTGGCTTCATTTGATCTTCAGTTAAAAAAAAAAAAAAAGTACAGGGCTCAGTTGTGTTTATGGGTTGATGAGACCCACATAGAAAGTCTATTAACCTGCTCTTTCAGCTTCTCTCTCTCTCTCTCTCTTTTTTTTTTTTTGGTGGAACTGGGGATTGAACTCAGGCCCTTGCGCTTGCCAGGGAAATACTTATTCCACTGAGCCATCTCCCCAGCCCCCTCAGCTTCTCTTGATGTTTGAGCACTTTCAGATTAAAAGGTTGGGGCCCTATGCAGGCTTTATTTACTCCAAAAGGGGAGAAGTTTAGGCTCGTACTATGTCCTTGACGGGACATCTGGGCCCACCCTTCATGGCTCCGGAGGTGTCTCTCAAAGGGTAAGGTCAAGCCCACTCGGCTGCGCAGGGCAAGGTGAGCTCAGTGGCTCTCCTATGGCCTGCTTTCCACAGTCCCAGCTCAGAAGCTTAGGCCAGCTGTAAGATGGGTGTTATCAGGAGGAGAACTGGAGATGTTGAGGACACTGATCTGGGCTGAGTGGATGGTATTTCAAGTAGGAGAAAGACTGGCTAGCAACGCATGGCGATGGTCAAGTCTGAAGGTGGGAGGGCCCCTAGTGGGTGTACCTTGGAAGCCAGCGCAATCCCCCCAGTCCTGGATGCTCCTTCCTTCCTTCACCCATTACCCCCCTCTATGTACTCATCCTAACCTGGAGTCGGGCTAGCAACAGAAAGTGTCTCTAATGGGCCACATGGGGGCAGTGGTTCCATAGAACCTCCATCTCTCCATAAGTCTGTGAGACAATTTCCTTTTTTTGGGTGGCCTAGAGCTGTCAAGGATTGCCCCAAATTCAGTGCCATGCAGAGGATGTGATTTGGTCCCTCAGCACCATCCAGGAGGATCAAGCTTCTCAGAACAGGCTGTTGTCACCTCTCCCAGCTGTTCCCCTCCTCCCTTACCCTATGGTATCTACCACCACCAGCATCATTCTCTACCCGCTAACAGCACAGACCGGAGCCCCAGTCATAGCAGCACTTGGTAGGGGTACATCAGTGCCAGTCAACAACTAGTTATTGTTTTCTTTTTTGCAGAACCAGGGGTTGAACTCAAGCCCCTGCACTTGCCTAGAAAGTGCTTATTCCACTGAGCCATCTTCCCGGCCCCCTAGTCATTGTTTTCATCAGCAGTGTATATAACACCAGTAATAGCGATGATCTGAGGACATAAGGCTCTGAAGTACAGATATGTACAGAGGAAACACAGCCTAAGGGATACAGCCAGAACAGGTCAGCCTAGTCAAGTTTGGGGCAGTTTGTTGAGCCTCCTTTATATGGGACTGAGGGCCTATGTGTGTAATCTCAGCACTTGGTAGACTGAGGCAAGAGGATCACATCAAGACCAGCCTGAGCTACATAATGAGCTCAAGGTCAGCATGAACTACATAGT